CTAAAAACCTCTGGTATAAAGTGTAATAGCGTTAAGTCTTAATGAAAGCCACCTTTTATGACATAATAAAAATCTAATTTTGGGCTTACTTCTAAAGAGAGCAACTCATTACATCTGAATAAAAACACAGAAGATTCACAGACCTGCAAATAAAATGCTGAGACCTACATTTATCAATAGTTACAGATAAGTCAAACAAACACAAATTATCCACATTTACTGATTAGCATCCATAGTTTTACATGATTGGTAAGGGTGTTTATATCTACATGATAAAACCGTATTGAGACGGAGTTAGTGATAGTAAACTGGACTGCACATAGAGAAAAAATGTTTATGAAATATATATATAGTTTCTAAAATTCAAAAACTATTCAGTTGAGAGAATTTAATTAATAAAGAAGAGAATTAGTTAATAAAAATATAGGTGGCTTAAAAAAATATTCTAATCTAAAGCAATACACTTGAGTGTACCAGAATTTATAATCCGTGTAACTTTGTAACTGTAATAAAGATCTTTCTCGGTTGTTCCTTATACTCGAGTTCGAGTGCAAAACCGAATGCAGTGATGTTTTTAAAAGGGTACTTAGAGTATCGGCTTGTTTTTTTCAGCAAACATTATGGGCAAACAGATGCAGAAAATGATGCTATCCGATTCGCCAGTTCAAGTTCTACTCCCACTCCAGCACTCGTATATTTCAAAAGATGGTCCCAGAGGCCAGGCGCAAAAACAATACAATATAAGAGCGGCATGCCGGGCAGATAAGTGAAGCACTAATCCTCGGATGATTTACGGGGCGACGTCAAGTTCAGATAAGGGGCGCCCCGGGCGGGAGCTATATTTAAGTACAATCCAGGCCAGGGCCCGCAAGTAAGCCACCAGCATCCGTGAAATGAGAACCGGTTAGACCGGACGAAGAGCTCGAGAGTTAGGATCTGCAAGACTACGGACAGGATGTCCACCAGCACCACCACCATGGCCAGTACCGTTGCCAGCGCCTCGCAGGATCTGCGATTCGGACTCACGGACTATGTTGTCTTCGTCATCATGCTGAGTGCCTCGGCCGGAATCGGAGTCTACTTCGGATTCTTCTCCAAGGCCAAGAACACCACGGAAGAGTATCTGCGCGGCGGGAAGAAGATGCAGACCCTGCCCATAGCCATATCTCTGGTGGCCAGGTGAGAGTAGAGCGGTGTCCGGCGGTCCCAGCCGGATTCCTCCCGATTCCGTCACAATTTATCTTTCTTTATTGGCTGCCCTAAAATCGCGGGTTGCGTCAATTTCTCCAAGTGTCATAAGTGCGCTGTGTTCCAAGAACTACTGCGGATTTGCCAAATCCTATATCATAACGATTGTAAAACCCACACGGAACTGGGGGAATCTGTTTGGGCAGTAATCATAAAATACTGAGTACTTGTGAACTGGTTGGGTATATTTTTTATAACAAAATTGGATCTTAACATTTTCTAAATTATCCTTTTCAGTCAGTTGTCCGGCATTGCCATTATGTCCATTCCAGCTGAAAGTTATACCTATGGTTTCAACTACATATTCGTTGTCCTGGCCATGATTGTCGTGATTCCCATTTTAATCTACATTATAGTGCCTGTCTTCTACGAAAACAATGTCTCCAACTGCTATGAGGTGAGTTAACCCATCAAAATAATGATGAGATATATATATTTACGATTTATTGTAACATTTAGTATCTGGAGATGAGGTTCAATAAGCGCACCCGGCAGTTGGTGACCGCAACCTTTGTCATGAACTCTTTTCTGATGTTACCCGTCTATATGTTTATCCCCTCTCTGGCTTTTGCCCAGGGTAAGTAATCAAGGTTCAGCGATCGGAATCTTCCTTACTAAAATTAAACCCTTACTTTCCAGTTACTGGCATGAATATTCATTTGATCAACGTAATGGTTTCCTCCATCTGCATTTTCTACACGATGCTGGGCGGGATCAAGGCAGTGGTTTGGACCGATGTGGTGCAGGGTGGCATTATGCTCCTTTCCGTGGTCGCCGTGGGAGTCTTGGGCACCGTCCGTTCGGGAGGCGTCTCCACAGTTATAGAACACGCCTCCGAGGGCGGACGTTTTAACTTTGAGTAAGTTTCTTCTAAACTGTTTTTATAAGTATATTTAACCTTTGAATTTATTAGCTTTGGTCTGGATCCTCGTATCCGCATGTCTTTCTGGGGTGCCACCATGGGTGGAATCTTCATGTGGACCGGTCACATTGGCTTGAACCAGAGCTGTGTGCAGCGAATCGTCTCCCTGCCATCCTACTCCCATGCTAAAAAGTAATTATTATTAAGATTTAAAAGATAATACAAAATAATGACCCTTTAAAATTTTTCCCTCTTAGATCATTGATCATTGCTGGACTAGGATTTCTGATCATAAGTTTCTTCAACACTGTTTCGGGCATCATTATGTTTGCCCGCTACTACGGATGCGATCCTATGATAGCTGGTGTAAGTCACCTCCTTAAACTACTTAACTATTACTTAACTACTACCTAACTACTACTTTACTAATCTTTAAATACAACTTAACTGCTTCTTAGCTACCATTTAACTAAAACTTAACTACTACTTAACTACTACTCAACTACTACTACTACTTAAACTACTATGTTACTAGTACTTCCATTTTAATTGGTAAATTATTTTGAAACTCAGCTTTTCTCTTCTTTATTCTTCTTCAGCTGGTCAGCACTACTTAACTACTACTTGACCACTATTTAACAACTACTTAACTACTATTTAAATACAACTTAACTAGTACTACTACTTAACTACTATTTTACTAGTTTTTCCATTTTAATTAGTACTACTTAACTACTACTGAGCTACTACTTAACTACTATTTAAGTACAACTTAACTACTACTTAACTGCTACTTAACTACCATTTCAATTTGTATTATGTTCTGAAACTCACCTGTTATCTTCATTATTCCTTTTCAGCTGGTCAGCAAGCCGGACAAAATGATGCCTTTCTTTGTGCAGGACATCATGGGACACCTGGCTGGAATGCCGGGCGTCTTCATCTCCTGTGTGTTTAGTGCCGCCCTCAGCTCCCTTTCGGCCACATTGAACTCCCTGGCCGGAGTGGTGTACTTCGACTACATAAAGCCGCGTATTCGGCACACGGAGGCCCGAGCCAACTGGTCCATGAAACTGATCGTGGTCGTGATGGGCGCCTACTGCATCCTGGGCGGCTTTATGGTGCAGAACTTCAACTCCATCCTGCAAACGGTGGTCACCATCACAGGCATCAATACGGGTGCAGTGGTGGGAGTGTTCCTCCTCGGGATGTTCGTGCCCCGTTGCAATGCCAAGACGGCTGTCACAAGCATAATCTTCAGTGTTGTGGCCATGGTTTGGGTCATCGCCAATGGCCAGATGAACTTCAAGTCGGGACTGATCAAGTACGAGGTGCTGCCCAATTCGCTGGATCAGTGCGAGGCCAGGGGTCTGCACATGATTGCGGATGTGATGTGAGTAGTATTATGATTTCAATAGAAACATTATTATAATAAAATTCTCTTACCCTTCAGCAACCAGACTGACTTCACTCCCGTCACGGCGAAGCCTCCTTCTGGAGCACCTGTGACCACCGCCTTCCACAGCGATCGCGACTTTTCTCTCTACGACATCTCGTTCTACTGGTACAAGGTTTTGGGTACCGCCCTCATCTTCCTCTGGGCAGTGCCCATGAGCTACATTTGGCGCCCGGATAAGAACGAGAAACAGAATCCCAAGTTGTACTCGCCCTTCGTGAGGAAGTTCCTCACTCTGCCCGAACCTGACCAGGAGCTCGAGGAGGTGCCACTGCAGGGAGCCAAAAACGGTGAGATCCCCCACGTCAGAATAGATCCTGGCGAAAAGGAAAGGGAAGCCGGTCTCGAACACTGATTCATTTTAAGTGTTTTAGTTATTTTTAGGCTGAAATATGAGCAAGACGTTTAAGTAAACTAAATAAAACAAATGTATATAAAATAGCTGTGTTTCTTTGAGAACATTTAAGGACATTCTGGAAATTAATAGACTGACTCAGTTACTATCGATGTGTTTCGAATATTAAAGATAGCCGCTGAAGTATTTTGAGAACCTATTTTAAAAGTTTAAAACAATTTATCTAATCAAGCCTTATCATATGCTCAATTAATTAGCTACAAAAGACGTTTTTTATTCCACCTCCATGCTCGGCAGTACACATAGTGACGAAGCGCACCAAAATAATGTGCCAAGTCGTAAGTTAATATAGCAGTAGGAAGAAAAATCTGTTATGATGAAAGACATGTCTATTAATGGAAAATTAATTCCATCTTTATAAACAAGATTATTCATAGTGACGAAGAGCCCCAGAAGAATGTTTGAAGTCTTCTAAAAATCTGTTCTGTTGAAAAATATAAGACTTTAAGATAATTAATTGATTTTATATTATAATATACAATTGAAATTATTAGTTCTCATGATAAAATGTTTTTTAAAAATCCTTGTCTATCCTTATATCACCAAAAAAGGCCAAACTTTTCTAGGTTCAACAGCCTAGAGGGCATTTGAAGGTTGCCGACTTCAATTTTCTTTTTATTACTCGCAGATGCGTAAGTCCAGTGCTTGGTGAATAAAGTTCACATATAGACTCCCCAGCTATCAAAGTCAGGGTGATGATAATCAAGGTTACCGGCTACTGGTGATAAGGTGACTCCATCTCCAATTGAATGAGAATTCCTCACGCCCCGTAATTCCAAACTAATGAGGATTTCGATTAATGGATGAATCGACACTTTATGGAGGATACGCAATCCCTGAGATTCCGGATACGACTGGTTACCACGGCCTGTGCTCTGTAAGCCAGATAAGAAGAGCTCCTGATTTACGATGTGCTCCGATTACGACGCACCTAGACAGATATCGTGCCGAGATAAGGGTGGCCAGCTAACTGGAGATGCTACTTAAGAAGGGTGTCCACGATCCGATCAACACACAAGTGCGCTGGCAGCATCCAGACCCTAAGCTCCTTAGGCTCTTCCGGTTCGGCCTTCCACAGTTCGCGATCCCAAGGATACAGGAAACCCCAGAAGGATGACGAGCACTGCTAGCGACTTTGCCAGCACCGTGGCCTCCGTCACCACGGCTGCCATGGAGGATCTCCGCTTCAGCCTGACGGACTACATAGTCTTCTCCCTGATGCTGAGTGCCTCGGCCGGAATCGGAGTCTACTTCGGGTTCTTCTCGAAGGCCAAGAACACCACCGAGGAGTACCTGCAGGGCGGCAAGAAGATGCCAACTCTTCCTGTGGCCATTTCCCTGGTCTCGAGGTGAGTGTTCCGCTCCGCACGCTTTTTTCCATAAATTTCCATGTCGTCACTCCGTAACGCCAGTAAAGATACACCAGACACGGGATCACGGGTCCATAAAGATAGTATCGTAGTACGAGTACAGCGGGCCTCCTCCGTCGTAAGCCATCCATTCTATTCTCGTATGTCTATCCATCTATCTTATCCAAATGCGCATGCCAGTTATTGCACCCATAAGAGTGGATTAGATGAATCGCAATATTACCGCGAACCTGGTGAAATTAATCCAATCAGGATCGAGCCCCTCTTTTTTGCGGAAATCGTTAGCTTGCTCTTGGATAACTTCAAGGTCGTTAGTGATACTAAATTTTACTGATTTTTCGTATGCTTTTTAGCCAACTTTCCGGAGTGGCCATGATGTCTGTTCCGGCGGAAACGTACTCCTTTGGATTCAATATGATATTTGTGGTCTGGGCCATGGTCTTGGCGGTTCCCGTTCTTATATATGTCGTTGTGCCCGTCTTCTACGATAATAATGTCTCCAACTGCTACGAGGTGAGTGAAAATATTCCTAGTGAGTCAGCTCTTTTCGCAAAGCAATTAAATAGATAAAAATATTCTTTAAATGAGGTTAGAAAGTGTCTAGTAAAAACTAGATTTTTAAATATTTCTAGTTCTTTAGAAAGAATCTTAATTTGATATTTAAATAATGATTTCTATATATAGAACACTGACCTTTTGATATTAAATGTTTTGATTTCACAACATTTTAATCATAAAAGATTAATAAAATAGCAAACAAAAAGATTAAATGGTGACGTTTTTATGGCTTAAGCCATTTACAATATAGCTTCTGGTTAAACTTGTTATTTGATCTCCTTTTACAGTACCTGGAGATGCGATTCAGCAAGCGCACCCGCCAACTGGTGACCATTACGTTCATCCTCAACCAATTCCTGATGCTTCCCGTCTACATGTTTGTACCTGCGCTGGCCTTTTCCCAAGGTATAATGGAAATAGATTTTAATCGCAGGCGCGTCAGTGGTTGAATTAAAATTCATTTTCATTTGCAGTCACCGGCTACAACATTCACCTGATCAACACGGTTATCTCGTCCATCTGCGTCTTCTACACGATGCTCGGCGGGATCAAGGCTGTGGTCTGGACGGATGTGGTTCAGGGAGGCGTCATGTTGGTCTCGGTTATTCTGGTGGCCATTTTGGGCACCTCGAACACAGGTGGTTTGGCTAATGTCTTGGAGAATGCTTCAGAAGGTGGCCGTTTCGACTTCAAGTAAGTGAATTTTGGGTGATCTCTTGTGATCTCTTATTTTAGGGTTTTATGTTTTTAGTTTTGGCATAGATCCCCGCCTGCGCATCACCTTCTGGAGCGGAATGGCCAGTGGACTGCTCATGTGGACGGGTAAACTTGGCCTGGACCAGAGCTGCGTGCAGAGGATCGTGTCCATGCCCTCCTATGGCCACGCCAAGAAGTGCCTCGTTATGGCTGGCTTTGGTTTCATCCTCATCATGTCCTTCACCTGCTTCGCTGGCATCATCATGTTCGCTTATTACTACGGATGCGATCCCATTCAGGCGGGGGTACGATAATTTTGAACTCCTTCCTTAAATCATGCTATATCAAATATCCTTTAGCTCGTCAGCAAACCGGACAAACTGATGCCCTTCTTCATCCAGGACATCATGGGCCATTTGATGGGCATGCCCGGCGTCTTCATCTCCTGCGTTTTCAGTGCCTCGCTGAGCTCCCTTTCCGCCAGTCTGAACTCCTTCGCCGGCGTGGTTTACTTCGACTACATCAAGCCGCGGATCAATCACACGGAGGCCAAGGCCAATGCGACCATGAAACTGGTCATCGTGGTGATGGGAGCCTACTGCATCGTGGGCGGCTTCGTGGTGCAGAACTTCAACTCGATTATCCAGACGATGTGGACGATTACGGGCATCAATATGGGCGCTGTCGTGGGAGTATTCTGCTTGGGCATGTTCGTTCCCCGCTGCAATGCCAAGGTGGCGGTGAGTGGCATCGCCTTCAGTGTCCTGGTGATGCTGTGGATCATCGTCAACGGCCAGCTGAACTTCAAGGCTGGGCTGATAAGGTACGACAGCCTTCCCAATGGTCTGGATAAGTGCGATGCCGAGAATTTCCAGGCCATCTTCAGTGCCATGTAAGTAGAGTGTATCTAAAATATGTACAAATTTTGTCATCATAATCATAATCATTCACCAGAAACAACACCAACTTCGCCACCACTCCGATTCCCTCGCTGGAAGCACCCAAGCCGTTGACCACCGCCTTCGACAGCAACCGCGACTTTAGCATCTACGACGTGTCCTTTTACTGGTACAAGGTGATGGGAGCCATCCTGGTCTTCGTTTGGGCCATCCCCATGAGCTATGTGTGGCCCCTGGACAAGAACGAGAAGCAGAACCCCAAGCTGTACTCGCCCTTCGTCCGGAATCTGTTGAACCAACCGGGTCCGGTTTTGGAGCTGGAGGAGCTGCCTCTGAAGACCCCGCTGTCCGATGAGCAGATCAAGGAGAAGGAAAACGGAGTCGCTTCAGAGGCCTGACACCGCACATCATCACATTTGTACATTTGCATTAGAGTTAACAAGTAACAATAAGAACTGTATCGACTAGGAAACCAAGTTTCCACTTAAAACCGAAATAAATTGACATATGCTAAAAATAAGCAATCCTTTTCACTAAAAATTCTAGATAGATCCAAACATCCTAGAAAAAGATCTGAAAAAATAAGATACCACACAAGTTTAGCTTCTCTTGTACTTTTTTAAGATTTATTTACAAAAGAATATTCAAATGAAGAATGCCTTATACAGAAGATAAGCTACATACAAAAACGGTCTGACTGATCATTTCAGTTGCAACGGCTTCCAAAACTAATTTACGCTCTTGCTGTGTTTACATAATATTTATCATTATTATCATAAGGTATTATTAGAATTTGTGTTTCTATTTTTTTCATTGAAAAAGTGTCCTCTTTACTCTAGCATGTATTTACGAATTCAGTTAGGAGTGATCGATCGCCTGGTGGTGACCTAAACCTAGCACAACAGTTTCCAATTGTTAATAAACGTAGACTAAATGCTTCCAAATCAAAACGGGCTTGAAATACGAATAGAAAGTATTCAAAGGGGGTGAAAGTTATACATAGACGTATCCTAATGCCCCGCAGAGCATTCGTACTGCGTTACAATGGGTTAAAATCTGCGTTCTGCGTTTCGGTTGCTTATTTTCTGAGTGTGTGTTGTCCAATTGGTTTTATAATTAAGGATATTATGCCTTACAATTTAAAAACATCTATTTTACATACATTTCCGTCAATGTATAATTTGTTTGATTCCAATTTGATTAATTATCCACATAGATATTATATTAAGATGCATTTTACAATCTGTCTGTGTATTTTGGGGAAAGTGGGTGGGGTGGGTTGGTTTTTGGGAACTGGAACTACTGCCTACTCGTTTTACTTGTCTGTCTAGCTGACGCACACAGTGCAACATTGAAAGTCCAGCATCGATTGCAGCCTATGGCGTCCCTCGCGTCAACCAAATAAAAATAAATGGGAGACGCGAAACTATCATCAAAATTAAAGGGATTTCTGAGTACGAAATCAAATGGTCAGTTAAAAAGAGAAAATCGTAGGGGGGAACTCCGAAATGTTTGCATGTAGCTGGCGACACATCCAGACCAACTCGGCGGTCGAGCTGAAAAATGCTTTTTGTACACATTCGCAACGCATTGAAGTTGTTGATTGTCCATCGGCGGTGGGTTGGGTCTAGTTACAGACCTTTGGCGCTGCATTCTCGGCCACTTCGGCGGAACTGTTGACGATCTTGGGCTCACCTGCAAAAGTAACATGTTAATTAGAGTGAATCTGTTATTAAAAACAGCTTTCCCACTCACCATTCACATTGATTTCGGCCTTCTTGACCTCGCTGATCACCTGCGGCTCCTTGGCAGGACTCTCGGCGGCCTTCGCCAAGGTGGCATCGACTTCCGCGGTCTTGCTGACATCATTGGTGGCGGGGGCAGCGGCGGCGTTGGCGGGAACCTCGGCGGCTACGGGCGGCGTGGCACTCTCCTCCTTGGGCTCCGCAGAATTCACGATCTGCTTGCTCTCTTCGCTGCTTTCGTCGGCTTTCTTGGGCTCTGCTTCTGCGGATTCGACCGCGGTGCTCTCAGCTTCCTTGAGCTCGGCAGCGGACTCTTCTGGCACCGCTTCCTTCGCCTCTGCGGCCACTTCCTCCACATCGTTGCTGGATTCTGTTGCCTCTGCTGCTGTTTCTGGTTCTGCAGCGGCGGCAACCTCCTCGGTGGTGGCAGGTGTTTCTACTTGAGCCGTGTCCGAACTGCTCTTCGAACTGGCATCCACCTCCATGGGCTCTGGTGTGGCTTCCTTGGCGGGCTCCTTTGGCTCCTCTGCTACTGCTGCTGCAGGTTCTTCCGATTTCTCCTCGGGTTTCTTCTCTTCAACCGTTGCAGGTTCCTTTTCTGCTGAAGGTGTGCTTTCGACAGCAGGCTCTTCTGCGTCTACTTCCATGGCGGAGGCGGTTTCTTCCTCGGGGGCAGCGGGAGTTTCTGTGGCAGCTCCGTTCTCGGAGGTCTTCTCGCTCGCCTTGACTACTGGCTCCTCGACTTTTGGCACCTCTTCGGTTGACTTCTCGGGCTTCTCCTCCTCTGTGCTTGGTTTGACTTCGTCGACATGGTTCTGCTTCTCCTCCTCCGCCACCGCAGGCAGATCCCCCGCTGCATCTGGCTGGTCCTCGGTCTCAAGGGGTTTGGCGGCTTCCTTTGGCTTGGAGGCTTCTTCCTCCGCCTCCTCGGGCTCCTCTTCCTCAGCCGCCTTCTCCTCCTTCTTGGCCTCCTTCTTCTCCTTCTTGCCAGCGGCCTGAAAAGTGGTTCATTCGTTAGTTTGCAATCGTGTGAAAAGCTGATAATTGGCTTACCTTTCCCTTGGCAGGTGTTTGTACCTTTTCCTTTTCCGGCTCCTGCTCGGGCTCATCTCCGCCCACATCCAGCTTCCGAGCTCCGCGTCCCTTTCCTGCGCTGGCCTTGGTGGCCGAGGCGGGGGATTGCGCGCCTTCTTGCTCGGCGGCGGCGTCACCGTTTCGGTGGCCCGCGTCGGCGTTCCTCGGGTGCTGGACCGCGTCCGCCGTCCGCCCGCCAGCTCCAAGCTGCCGCCCATCGTTCGCACCAGCTCCTCGCTTTCCTGCTGCGCCCGCTCAATGAACGAGCGGCGTTTGGGAGTGCGTTTCTGGAATAGAAGAAAAAGATATGGTAAAATGGTAAAAATAAAGAGATGGAGGTAATTTCTAATCTAGTGATTAGAAAAAAGTAAATTAAATATTGGCAGGATCTTCTAGATAACTTATTAGTATACGGTGATTTAATGTGTTTTCAATTTTATATAATTACTTTTATTTCATTGTACCCAAAAACATATTTTAGGTGTTGTACCTAGAGATACTTCAAAATAAGCTACTTCTTATTTCCCGCCAGAAGATAACTCGCTCTCCCACTCTCTCTCTCGATGCTCTCTTTGAAGGAAGATCGAATTTGGGAGAGCGCTTTATTTACAGTTATCCTAGATCAAAAGCTCTCTGACTGATTTCCCGCCAAATCTGTACGTTCTCTCTCAGTTTGTCATTTCGCGAGCGCAAGCGACCCACGCACTTGCATTAGAATTAGAAAATAATTAAATCACGGCTTATCTCGGCTTCGGATGGTGTTTAAAAATTAATACAAGTGCAAAATTGTTTGCTGTTCGGTTAGATTTGCGGTTTACAAGTATAATTGCGGAATATTTCGGTCGTCGCGAGCAAGTGTAACATTTGCATATGTGTGTAAGCTAGTCCGATTTTGATCGTTTGTTTTGTTTTGATAGATATTTGCGAGTATTGCGGTAGTGTTTCAGTGCAATATTTTGTTAATTTTTTTTTTGTGATAATCCAACAGTGAATGATAAGAAAGTAAAGTGCTCAACATATAATTTTTTTAAATTATATTGATCTGTATAAAAAATATTTCATAGCCCCAAAGGATAGAAACTTATCAGGAACGGAGGTGAGTGCTAAACAATTAACTAACTAAATTGTAATATTAGCATTAATTAGTTAAAGTTTTATTTAAATGGAATAGATAATCAAATTCATTTTCATGTTTAAATTGAGTTCAAAACGTTTTTAAATATCGCACAAAAACATGCGTAGTTCATTTTCTATAGTGCGCACTGTACTCAGTTTTATTGACACGGCCAAATTGCCGCTGTAATCGCCCCCGCATATTCTCGTTTACAGCTGAATTCACAGCGCAGACCCCCAAATGAGACCCCGTATCAATGGCTGTCGATCGGGGGAGTTGATATCTATATCTGTAACTATAACTATTAGTATAGTCGCCGCTGTACGCTAAAAAAAATGGAACCGAATCTAGAGCGCAACGTTGCATGCATACATACAGACATACATACGAACAGGCGCAAACACCGCGAAGCGGATGCAAGTGTATGTGCCGCTGTGTGTGTGACAAAGTACAGCAAACAACAAAAAGTCGAAAAGGGAAACGGCAAAAATAAAAACAAACGAGACGCGGCAGCGGCAAAACGTGAGCACAAAGCGGAATCGCCGACTGCCTCTCTTCAGCGAGTAGCTGCGTATACACACACACGCACACATGAATAGGGGAGGGGGGAGTTGGAAAAGCGCGCGCACACGAGGGTAGACGTTGAAAAAAGAAACGTAAATAGAAAACGGACGCACAAAGGAAAATTGTGAAAATGCACAATAACCGCCCATATACACACACGGTTATTTTGGAAAAATACCGCAGATAATTCTTCTGTGTGCGTTATCGCCGCGCTATGTTAATTGTCGCCCAATGCGGCTGTGTGAGTGCTGCTACTTACGGGTGTCTTCTTGTCGTCCCCCGCCGCCCCCCTCCTCTATTTCCACCGCCTCCGGCTTTTGGGCCACAGTTGCCTCGGACATTGTTTAGTTTAGTATGTGGTGTTTAGCGGGTATTTCCAAGTATTTTGCAATTCCTATATCTTTTGGCTCCGCAAACTTCGTTCCCACTCTCTCGCAGAGGCGCGCACACAACTACAGGTAGGGCAACTCGAAATCGACACACACGCCACGCTTCTTCGCACACCGTGAACGCGCAACTTTGGAAATGCCGACTTTGCGATCGAAAGCCGTTCTTCTGGTTCACTCGGGCTGCTGGGACCACTTGGCCGGGAATTGCGCTTGTTTTTCCAAACCAAAACGCTCGCTTTTCGCCTTTTTAATGCGATTTTTGGTAACGGAGTAAACGTAACTAAACTGCTTCTTGCGAGGGCTGGGCAACTTGTGGCGGCGACCTATCGATGGCAGTCGTTATCGATTTACAGTTACCATTGCGGTATTATCGTGCCTGTGGCGAACGGTCGCACTGCAAAGCTACACGCGGCTTTTTGTTATTTATAAATTTACACCTGGCTGAAATAAAATGGTCTCCCAGCAGCAAATCGAGGCTATTGGCGGCGTCCTGAACAACAAGGATAGGCCGCTGAAGGAGCGATTCAGGGCCCTGTTCACCTTGAAAAACATTGGCGGCGCAACGGCCATCCAAGCGATCAGCAAAGCCTTCGACGATGATTCGGCGCTGCTGAAACACGAACTGGCCTACTGTTTGGGCCAGATGCAGGACGCCCAGGCGCTGGAGATCCTCACCAAGGTGCTGCGCGACACCGCCCAGGAGCCGATGGTGCGCCACGAGGCGGCGGAGGCCATGGGGGCCATCGGTCACCCCGATGTGCTGCCCATTCTGGAGGAGTACAAAGTGGATCCCGTGGTGGAGGTGGCCGAGACCTGCGCCATCGCCCTGGACCGCGTCCGCTGGCTGCAGAGCGGCCAGCAGGTGGACGACCGCAATCCCTACGCCTCCGTGGACCCCTCGCCGCCGACGGCGGGCGAGAAAAGCGTCGCCGAGCTGAAAAGCATTTATTTGGACGCCCAGCAGAGCCTCTTCGATCGCTACCGGGCCATGTTCAGCCTGCGCAACCTGCGCACCGAGGACAGCGTCCTGGCCATCGCCGAGGGCCTGAAGGACTCCTCCGCCCTCTTCCGCCACGAGGTGGCCTTCGTTCTGGGCCAGCTGCAGGAGCCCTGCAGCATCCGCTTCCTGCAGGAGAACCTGGAGGACCGCCTCGAGAACGAAATGGTGCGCCACGAGTGCGCCGAGGCCCTGGGCGCCATCGCCACCGACGAGTGCATTCAGATCCTCAACCGCTACGCCGAGGACGACAAGCGGGTGGTCAAGGAGAGCTGCGTCATCGCCCTGGACATGTGCGAGTACGAGAATAGCCCGGAGTTCCAGTACGCCGATGGGCTGACCAAACTGGATGGGACCAAGTGATTTACGTCGCAGATCAGCATCTACCAACTGTATATATTATTTGTAAACTTGTATTGTTTTATCACGTACTGTGATTACGCGGACCTAATCTTATCGAGACATAAAGGAAATCAAAACGTGACTTGCGGTGGTTTTACTTTGCATGGGATGAATCAACTATGGCAGATTCCGAGGGGAAAACCTGGAAACTATTAGTATATGATTTCACCATCTATAATTGATCTTAAATCGATGATCTAATAATTAGTACCCTGTACTCGATTTAAAGTGGTATTTTAAGAATCAAGAATTAGAGAGAACTTGGTGTATTCAAAATTTGAAAATCAAATACATTTGAACGATTTTTTGAATTTAAAAAAGTAACCGTTATTTGAAACTCATTTTGGTAAATGGTTACAAATAGAATAGTAAATCATTAAATTGCTAGTTTTATAGTGTCTATAAAGTTTGAGTTATCTCAAGATCCTAATTATATTTTTAAAGATCCCGGAAATTACAATTTCCAAAAATCTGAAAATTCAAATTACCAAAAATGTGGCAACGCTACCAAAGTGAATACAATTTTCAACACCACGGCCATTTTCGAGAATATTTTCCAAACGACCGATAAAAAATTGAGCGGTAATTAACTTTGAACTTTTTCCCCACGATCGATAAGGTTTACCCACCCGAGAAACCCCACAAAAACCATGAAAAACCAAAAAAAAGGCACCACACAGTGTGACCCTTTCTCGATTCCCCCAAATTCACCTGGCCGGCTTTTCGCATTCAAGATTTTTGTGCACCGGCAAACACATGAAGCTACCGATGCTCGGTATAATTTTGGCATTCTTTTCCATAATCTCGGCGACAATGGCGGCTAACAAGGAGAGGACTTTCATCATGGTCAAGCCCGATGGCGTCCAGCGGGGACTCGTCGGCAAGATCATCGAGCGCTTCGAGCAGAAGGGCTTCAAGCTGGTCGCCCTGAAGTTCACCTGGGTAAGGGGATAATTGAATTAGAGGGAAATCAATATTGGAATAGTAGGGTAGCCCCACGCGGGGTTATCTTCGGACCTAACCTCAAAGGTTGACTGCAGGCGTCATCATGGCGGATGACATGTGTTTTAGAGGTCAAAACTGCAATTAGCCATCTCAACTGATAACGCTTTGTGTAATCTCAATGAACAGGCCTCCAAGGAGCTGCTGGAGAAGCACTACGCCGACCTGTCCGCCCGCCCCTTCTTCCCCGGACTCGTCAACTACATGAACTCCGGCCCCGTGGTGCCCATGGTGTGGGAGGGTCTGAACGTGGTCAAGACCGGTCGCCAGATGCTCGGCGCCACCAACCCCGCCGACTCGCTGCCCGGCACCATCCGCGGCGACTTCTGCATCCAGGTGGGCCGCAACATCATCCACGGATCCGATGCCGTCGAGTCCGCCGAGAAGGAGATCGCCCTGTGGTTCAACGAGAAGGAGCTGGTCACCTGGACCCCGGCCGCCAAGGACTGGATCTACGAATAGGTCTCATCTGAGCTGAGCTAACAGAGAGAGATTCTTCTAAAGAAATAAAATTCCACGATAATTAGTAAAGATAGTTGGGTGTTGTATATATTTATTCTGTAATTCTGTAGGCTGCCCACTGAGCTGTGGGTTTCATTGGTGGTAGCACCCATCCCCGGGGAATACAGGAACCTCTGCCCGCAAAACTTATGTAAGAGTCCCAAGTGGAGCTAAAAAAATTATATTTTAATCGGAAAGGTGTCTACGGATAAAGTATACCAGTAAACCCACCGAATCTCCAGGAACTTTTCCTTGTTCTCCTTTACCAAAGGTTCAGAGTTGCCAAAGAAAACCGCCTGCCATTGGGATTCTATGGAGGCAGCCTTCTGGGACTCCCTGACATGGTCGCCTTGGTTCTCCTCTTGAACTCTCCGCCACACACGACGCATTTGGCTGAGTTTTTGCCTCAGGGCGGCCTTGTCTCCTCCCCGAGATTCGCATAGTTTCTCCAGAAGATCAAAGGTTTCCAAAATGGAGGCGGCATCGTGTTTTTTACGCAGGGATATGTGCTCCGCCTGTTTCTCTAGGGGATTTCGTGGCGGTTCTACAGAATACTTTTGTTCTTTAATCTCGGTTTTAATGGTTTCCCTCTTGAACCGCTTTTTTTTCTCTTTAACTAAGCGTCGCCAGCGTTTTCTTTGTTTTTGTATGTCGGCTACTCTTTGGGCATTCACTTGGTCAAGTTCATCCAGTAGGGTAGTCGTAGTCCGCTGCAGTTCCTCCGCCTGTCCCACGTCGAGTTCCTGTCCAGGAAGTCGTCCAAGTTGCTCCAGTCGTTCCAAATTCGCTATGACATGCTGAATATTGGCCTTAATTTGGCTTAATTTAAGGTTTTTTATACTATCCATATTTTAGAATATATCGGAAGACGATAGAGCCCAGTTATCGATTGTCCTACTGGGGCATACATTTTTATTTAGTTTTTAAAATTTAAATTCTTCAATAAAAACCACCTTGAATGTTTATAAACAGCTGCTTCTTATATTAGAAAATATATATTTAGTTTTATTTTTATTACAATTCAAAATTCAAAACAAGATTAGAGGGTATTAAGTTGCTTAATACTTAGGGTTTTGGGCCGCTCTGCAGCTCAGAACTCGAGGAATAGCCATTGATGCTGATATCAAAGGGTATTAAATGCTGTTTAAACAGGGACTGGGAATGTGAGGATCCTTAGATCTCCAGTTCGGCCTTGGCTGCCTTGAGAACGTCGGCGGCCCTCGTGTACTCCTCCGTCTCCTTGAGATCCTGCTCATCGGCGAGGTACTTTTCCAGAATCTCGTACTCCTTTTGCAGTCTTTATATAGGGAAATCCTTTATAAATACGGGTAACTATTAGGATTTTTAGGGTCACTTACCTCCTCTTGGAGTCCGGAACCATCATGACGCACTCCTGGATGACCTCCTCCTGCTTGCGCAGAACATGGTCGTCGGCTCCCTCGCCCTTGAATTTCTCCAGCCTGGACTCCTCGATCTTCACCTCCTTGGCGTAGCAGAACTTCTCCCTGGTCAGCCGCTTGACCACTCCGGCCTTAATCACCAGCTGTCGGATGCGGGGATCTGTCATCTCTGTGCGGTCTCTGCTGGGTTTAACTACGGACTAAAGTTAGTAGACCTCGAAAAGGGAGTTCTTGGTCTGAGTCACAGTTAATTCGACTGATTTTCGAACAGCCGGCTGAGATTCGGTAGAGCTTGTGGTGCTTTGTTTTGTTGTATTTCTTACAGTGAGTCAGAACCAGGGTTGTCGCCCCTCTCGATGGAACCACTTCAAAAGGAACCACTCGGAACCGCTAGAATTTGAAATTCATTTAACATTATACGAATTACTAATAGATTTGTTAATATTTATTTAATTATTTAATATTATTTTTTAATAGTTGTCATAGACATATGTAAGGAATATTAAACCTGTTAAATTGAAAAAGAAAATTTAAAAGATAATAAAAAACAACAAATCTTAAAATATGCAAAATTCCAAAAATTTATTTTACTGTTAGGCTTTCTTTATTTTTATCATCATTTAAAAGATCTTGTATGAAAATTCAAAATAAAACCAAAAATTCAAAATAAAATTCATTATTTTGTGGTATTTTACGGTTAAGCTTTCCTTATTTTTCTTACCATTTAAAAGATTTTGTATCATAACTACCAAATTCCAAAACCAATATTCCAAAACTAAAAATAAAACCCATTGTTTTGTGGTATTTTACGGTTAAGCTTCCTTTATTTTTCTCATCATTTAAAAGATCTTGTATCAAGCAACATGTTCTGTATCCAAGAATTGTTCTGGTGTCGGTTACAATTGTCTGTCGATTTTGTATAAATTCAGAGTGAGAGAGTAACGTGTATTTAATATGCTGGTTATGGGCAATGCAATGACATGTGGTTAACGTATATAATTGTAGTATATGCAAATGCAAATGAGGCTCGATTAAACATTTAGAATGTTTTCAAAAACCGCATGATTATGTGTGTTTATGTTGATTTCTTATGTTTTTTTTTTAATACTTCTTAAGCATTTGTCTTTTGGTTTTAAGAGAAATTTTGAATTCATTGCGAATGTAGTCTTCTTCGTTCTTGGGGCTTTTGGGGGTTTTTAGGGGAGCGTAGGCGTGGTTTAAAACTAAATTCGGAAATTACATTGTATAATAGATTTTAAATCGAATGCCTCCGACTTGACTTATCAAAAGTATAAAAAGTGTTTAAAATCCATTCGAAACAGGTGGATGATGTGGCTGCTAATCAAATGTAAGGTTTAGTTGTAGATGAGTATATATCGAGGGGCCCTGCAGCACTACAGCACTGCTGGGGATCGGTTAGTGCTTGGTTTCCTGCGGAAGGACTTGCGGTGGCGATACAAGTTCAGATAGCTGCAGTAGACCAGCAGGGCGAAGGCGACTAGAACCGATCCGGCGAGCTGGAACTCCTCCTCCTCCCGCTGCTTGGCTTCCTCCTCGCTAATCGTACGTGTGGTTATCATATAGGGTATTATCTGATCGATCTCATATAATATCTGCCTCGTAATAGTAGTAATTGGTGTCTTATTTGCCACGGAGCTAGGGTTTGCTTTAGATCGTCGAGTGGATATTATAATTTTGACATGTGTATTGTGTGGTGATGTTGTTTTAGTTCTTGTTGCTGTTGCTCTAGCCGTCTGCTGTTGTTCTTGTTGTTGGGTTCTTTGAGTGATGTCGTAGTTCTGCTGGCACCCTAGTTATTTCTTCTTCTGTGCCTTCTCAGCGGCTTTTGTCACCTTGCCCGAGGTCGTCTCTTTAAAGTTGACCGACTTGATGACCCCGACGGCCACCGTCTGCCGCATGTCGCGCACCGCGAAGCGTCCCAGCGGAGGGAACTCCTGGAAGCTCTCGACGCACAGCGGCTTGCTGGGCACCAGCACGATGATGGCCGCATCCCCCGACTTGATGGCCTTCGGCTCCGTTTCGGTGGTCTTGCCGGTACGACGGTCGCACTTCTCCTTGATCTCAGCGAACTTGCAGGCGATGTGGGCCGTGTGGCAATCCAGGACGGGAGTATAGCCGTTGGCTATCTGGCCCGGATGGTTCAGCACAATGACCTGTTAATGGGGAGGGATTGAAAGAGTTAAACTATCAAGTATTTATGCACAGAAAAAAAATGGTAATCAAGTTATTCATATCATTTTGATATGAATAAAGATTATGTTAATCTTTTTTAATATTATTTGCTCAAAAAATACAAACTTCGGTACTTGTTATGGTATGATAAAATATCATGTTGATATGTTTGAATTTTAAAATTGTCATAAATTATATCGGCTTCTTATTGATATGAAATAAGGTAGAAATAACCCTATTTCATATCGGTTTTTTTTTCTGTGTGATCATCCTACCTGAGCGGTGAAATCGGCTGCTCCTCGGGGAGGATTGTTCTTGGAGTCGCCGGCCACATAGCCGCGACGCAGCTCCTTCACGGACACGTTCTTCACGTTGAAGCCCACGTTGTCGCCGGGCATCGCCTCGGTGAGAGCCTCGTGGTGCATCTCCACCGACTTCACCTCGGTGACCAGGTTGACCGGGGCGAAGTTGACCACCATGCCTGCAACGATAGACCGGAAACGAAGCGACCGAACGAACGGAGAGTTACACATCCGAGTTCTATATATGTATTTACGTGGGCGTTTTGGTAGGGGGTGGGTGCATACACCGGGAGAAATGTTAAACAGGGTAAACTAGGAGTGTTTCTAATAAGCTTTTTTATCCAGAACTATTTGTTTTCTTTTTGTGGGGTAAATATTTACCTAAAACACGAGAACTTTTTTTTTTAAATCGTTCAGATCAGAATAACATGTGCGGGTCAATTTAATATTTCTTAAGGATCAAGTTATCTCATATCATTTTGATATGAATAAAGATTATGTTTATCTTTAAATACTACATTTGGTATTTTAAATGATATGATCAAAGATCAAGTTGATATGTTTGAATCATAAGTTTTACATAATTCATATCGGCTTTTTATTGATATGAAATATGGTAGGATTGACACTATTTCATATCGAGTGTTTGTTCTGTGTATGTATAAAATAAAAAAAACTTTAAAAGCTATTTAGTGTATTTATTCTGATTAAATAATAAATAATAATAATACAGGAATAAATAAAACCGAATTCATTGTTTCTGCTTTAGAGAACACTTGAATTCAAAACTTAAATATTAGGAATTAATATTTTATTATATCCTAAACACTCTCACTTTCAATTTGAATGTGGGAATAACCAATTTCCCCAAGTGCATGGGAGTCCACTCCCTCGCTCTCAATAATACATACATGCGCAAGACTTCGTCGCGAGCTGAGATTTGGATTCTCATTCGGAGGCAGTGGAAAAGGGAGTGGGAGTGGCAGCCCGCTGGCGACCCAAATTCCGATTCAGAGTACCAGACTACCAGTACATGAATGAAATAATCAGGCGAGGGAGGGTAGAGCCGGAAAACAGGGAAGTACAGGTTTACCTGGCTTGAGGAGACCAGTCTCCACGCGACCCACCGGTACCGTGCCGATGCCTCCGATCTTGTAGACGTCCTGGAGCGGCAGGCGCAGCGGCTTGTCGGTGGGCCGCTGGGGCGGCAGGATCGCGTCCAGCGCATCGATCAGGCACTTGCCCTCCGCCTTGCCCTCCTTGCGCTCCACGGACCAGCCCTTGAACCAGGGCATCTTCTCGGAGGGCTCCAGCATGTTGTCGCCGTGCCATCCCGAGATGGGCACGAAGGCCACCGAGGCCGGGTTGTAGCCGATCTTCTTGATGTACGAGGAGACCTCCTTCTTGATCTCCTCGTAGCGGGCCTCGCTGTACGGCGGCTCCGTGGAGTCCATCTTGTTGACGCCCACGATGAGCTGCTTCACGCCCAGCGTGAAGGCCAGGAGGGCGTGCTCGCGGGTCTGCCCGTTCTTGGAGATCCCCGCCTCGAACTCGCCCGTTCCGGCGGCCACGATCAGCACCGCGCAGTCGGCCTGCGAGGTGCCGGTGATCATGTTCTTGATGAAGTCCCTGTGCCCCGGGGCGTCGATGATGGTCACGTAGTACTTGGCCGTCTCGAACTTCCAGAGCGCGATGTCGATGGTGATGCCGCGCTCACGCTCCGCCTTCAGCTTGTCCAGCACCCAGGCGTACTTGAAGGAGCCCTTGCCCATCTCCTGGGCCTCCTTCTCGAACTTCTCGATCGTCCGCTTGTCGATGCCGCCGCATTTGTAGATCAGGTGCCCGGTGGTCGTCGACTTGCCCGAGTCCACGTGCCCGATGACCACGATGTTAATATGGATCTTCTCCTTGCCCATCCTTGCAGACTAAGCGGATTTCCTCAGAGCTGCAGGGAGGTGGGTGAAAAGAGGGGGGAGAAACGGATGAGTGGGTGGATTTTAGTGGGTTGGTGGGTTGATGGGTGGTGCAGGCGAGTGACGTTCGTGTGTATGCTGTGGGTGTGGGTCGTGTCATCGTGGTGTAGACACCAAAAGGACATTGCATACACACATGCACAGGGGTACACAGGGGAAAAAACTACGACTATTCTGAATAAGCTAGGTGGAAATTTTTTTATTTTGCAAAAATCAAATTAAAATTAATCTTGAACTCGAACTAAATTAAATTTTTAAAATTCATAATTCATTATTACAGTTGGTTAACATATGAAATGTTCACTTGTGTTATAAAAGATCATAATATTTAATAAGATTTTTTTTTAAACTTTTTAACATAAAAAGACCATTTTTGATATAAATATTTTGCATTTGAAAAATGTTTCCTATAAAGAGGGTTAATATCTGAAAGTGTCTTCGAATGTCTGCAGCACTTCCGGTGGATTATAGAAAAACTCACCTGTTTTCACGAAAATTTTCTAGAGCTTTTCTTCACTTGCAGATGCTGAGAGCTAACAAAAACAGATCACAAATCCTCTGGACGCAATTATCCTAGAATTTAAGGAATATATTGTAATTGAAATTTATATATGAGGCTTTTATAAAGGGGTTTTTCCGCACTTTGCAGCCGGACAACGACCAGGCTCGAGTGTCTGTCGGTTAAAGACTGTCGTATATATTCCTCGGCCGATTTGCACCGGGCGAAAAATCAATAATGAGACCCAGACAGAAGCGAATCGAGCCGAAGTCTGCGAACTCTGGGGAAATGCACTCTGCTCTCCATCTCCAGTGGGGGATTAAGCAGGAGAGAAGTGCGGCAGTACCACCGGCCGGCTTTTCATTTTCCCCAAATAAATACAAAATACGTAGCCACGCATTACAATCCTAATGTCGAAATTGGCAAATTTGCCAACTTTCGCAACATGGTGAAAAGAAAATTCAATGGGGAAAATGGCCAGAAGCATCGGCATTCGGCGACATTCGTGCGGCGGAAAATTCGCGATTCCAAAGGGTGAAAAACTGCAGAGAAAGAGAGGGAGAGAGCGGGAGGAAAAGAGATGGCACACGATTGCACTTGCCTCCCAAAGCTTCAAAAGAGAGAGAGAGCGAGGGAAAGAGAGAGAAGAACTGCAGGGCGTTGTGATTTATTTTCTACCCTAGTGACAATTTTACATGCCGATTTTCCCGCATGTTATTTTTAAATCTCTGTACTTGCATAGGAGTGCAAATTGAAAGAAGGAAAAGGAGGAGAGGAAGATGTAAAAATACTTTGGGTAGGGAAAATAATCTGCCGAGCATGTGTCATGCGGCAATTTTCTTCATTTTCTGCCTGCGAATTCCAATAGAAGCCGAGGGAATGAAGAGTGAAAAGCGTGGGAACGGGAATTCAAAACGGGAATAATCCAGGCGAAATCGAACACGCACACACATGCACGTACAGCCGGCCGCCATGTTGGAATTCAAAAGTCTAGCCAATTTGATTAAATTCCAGGGCACTGGAAACGCAAATTTTAAATTCGGTTTTTGGATCGATTTACGCTGCACACAGACACCTTTATTTTCATGCCTATGCGGCTATTATGCAAAACGTCGTGAGGAAACCGGCCGGCAATGCAAAACTTTTTCTCACACACACTTTTTTGGGGAAAACTCAACTAAAGCAGGGGAAAATCGAAGAAAATCCACTTAAATATGCGGGGGAGGGAAACCGGAGACCTGGTTAATTGACACTTGCAAAACCAATCGATGCCTATTAATATTGCCAATTTTTTAAGGATTTTCCGGGAGCTCGCGTGCACTTACCTCGAAATCACAAAACGGAAAGACCGAAAAAGCGAACGACTCCGAGCAGAACGGAGCCGAACCGATTCCAACTAGAGGTGGACACAGGATCGTGATTTTATTGGCCTTTTTGATTCAGTTTCCCAAGTTTGTCTTTAAAAAATATTGAGTAAAACTTCTATAAAAAAGGTGTTTATGCAAACCTTTTCATGTCATTTTTGTACACAATTTTTTATTTCCTATATGTGCATACAGTGGCGGATCTAGGATTTCCTTTTGGGGGTGATATCAGAACAATTTTTTTGTTGCATACTTTTTTTCCGTTCATATGTGCATACCATTGGATCATATGCAATAACCTATTCTCCACGCTAGATTCGAAAATAACTGATTTAATCCTTCAAAATAATGCATTTTTTTTAAAACATTTGAGTATTAAGAATACTTAAATATAACCCGAATTGTATTTAAATGTGATAAAAGCTTCGTTAACTACTGACGAAATTGCAACATTTTTATTATGACTTTAAATTACAATATAAATCATCACGAGTGCATCTCTAGTCGAATTGCAAAATGACAACTCGTTGCAAGTAATTCGCATTCGCGTTGGAATGAGACCACAGGCCCTCTATCTCTTGCTTCTCTTTCTGTCGTACGACAGAATGACGGAAGTCTAAAAATGATATGTTCAAATCATTAGTAAAACCATCTAATATTTACAAAACATGGTCTCTTCTCGCCTATAGTTCTGTGTATTTAAAGAATTAAGTCTAAACATTACAAATAATAGCATAAGAACCGAAAGGGAAGTAAATTAAAAGCCAGGAGCATCTATTTCCATTCACTGTCCGATTCGTACTCCTCCCAGTCCGGTTTCACGCCCACGGGCAGGTTCTTCTGCTCCAGGTAGACGTTGAATTGCTCCGGAATGGACATGAATCTGCGGATCTTCAGCCGGAACTGTCGCCAGGTGCTCTGGTTGAAGTTCTTCCGATCGGCGACCATGGCTTTGTAGTTGAACTGGTGCTTGTCGAGGAAGTAGGACAGCTCCTTGACCACGCCCTTGGGTAATCTATAGGGATACTTGATCAATTAGAAAAGGGCTTTTTCGGTTTCCGGAATAGTAAGGATTGAATTACCTGAATTCCGGGTCGGCCCGCTCGCTGGCCAGCTGCTCTAGTTCCTGGACCACATGTCCCCGCTTGGGACCCTCCTCCACGACTGGTTTCTTGAGGCCCAGTGCCCGTCGCTCGTCCTCGTCCAGCTCCTCCTCCAGAAATCCATTCACCACTCTCGCTGCGAGGAGGCGATCCTTCTTGTAGCTTGGAATCGCAATGGCCTTGTTCACATCCTTGGCCAAACCCATTTCACTGAAGTTGGTGCCCACGCGCTGGTCCTCCATCCACATCTTCTTCATCCGGGGACTGAAAAAGGGAAAATATTTAATTGTAATTTATATTCCAATTTATAGAAAATCATAGGATAGATCTCACTTACTCCTTAATTTTTCCCGTAGAACTGCGGGTTTTGTTCATCGTCTTGCGGTTCACATTGTAGCGGTAACGCTTGCGAGCATGGTTCTTGCGGATTTTCATTGTTAAGCAGTTAAATTAAGCAATTAAGAGGTTTATATTAAGATAAATAAACCAAAACAATTTTTAAAATTGCACGTGTTGCAGCTGTTTAGAGTGACCATAGAGCTAAAAATACCAAATACTGAAAGTCAGTATTTAAATACGGGCACTGCTGGAGATGGCATACCGGCAAGGCAAACCATTTCGATAACCGATAACACCAGCTGTACCTGGTACCGACAGTTTTTGTTTATATTCCGTGAAAACCAAGAATTAATATTATTAACCAAGATGCGCGATGAGATTCTGGATCCCAGCAACCTGGTGAAGAACCGGGAAATCCTCTACCGGCTGATGATCAGGTGGGTGCAGTACAGTAGGCCCCTAAAGAGTAATCCCCAACTGGATTTTCAGCCAACTGATGTACGATGGCCTGGAAAAGTTCGCCATGGAGCTGTCCATGCTGGTCAAGGCGGATCAGTGCGCGCCCAGCGAGCGGCTGCTGCACGTGATGATCGCGGGCATGCAGACGCTGAGCGACAAGGACAAGACGCCCACGGATGACGTGCTGCCCGGGATTGACCTGGAATTCGAGCCGGAGGCCTCTGCCTTGGCCCCGGAGCCGCATTCCTATGAGACCGCCTATGTGACGTCGCACAAGCAGGCCTGTCGCGCCGGCGCCTTCAGCTGCGACGGCTCCCTGGTGGCCACCGGCAGCGTGGACGCCAGCATCAAGATCCTGGACGTGGAGCGGATGCTGGCCAAGTCGGCGCCCGAGGATATAGAGCCGGGAAGGGAGCAGCAGGGCCACCCGGTCATCCGGACGCTCTACGATCACACGGATGAGGTCTCTTACCTGGAGTTCCATCCCAAGGAGCACATCCTGGCCTCCGCCTCGCGCGATGGAACCGTCAAGCTGTTCGACATCGCCAAGCCGTCGGTGAAGAAGGCCCACAAGGTGTTTACCGACTGCGAACCGGTGCTGTGCCTCTCCTTCCATCCCACCGGGGATTACGTGGCCATCGGCACGGAGCACAATGTTCTGCGGGTCTACGACGTGCACACCACCCAGTGTTTTGTGAGCGCCATTCCCTCGCAGCAGCACAAGGCGGGCGTGACCTGCGTCAAGTACTCGCCCACGGGAAAGCTCTACGCCACCGGCAGCTACGATGGTGATATAAAAATCTGGGACGGAATCAGCGGGCGGTGCATCAACACCATTGCCGAGGCTCACGGCGGAGCGGCCATCTGTTCGCTGGAGTTTACCAGGAATGGGAAGGTGGGCTTATACTAGATCCCTGCATGAATGGATTTAATGAATTAATTCGAATTTTGAGTTTGAGGTCCGTTTTCTCATCCATTTGTTAAATTTAAAATAGGCTTAAAACCTTGAAATCGTATGGGAAATCATTGTTTTAACCCTACTTTAAATTTAACAAACGGACGAGAAAACGGCCCTAAAAGAATTGAATGAATTTGAATTTTGAGTTTACTAGAATTGAATGAATGAATGGCATGAATTCCGAAATAATTCAAACGACAATTTCTTTTGAAGAAGAAAGGGCGATAATTTTGTGATTAAATCTGCCTGAATTTTATTTACTATGCAGTTAACATTAATTTGTTAAAAATGTTCCACTTTTTGTTCTCAAAAGAAAGCACAAAAAAATATGGAAACTTCAAAATTCTATAATCAAACAAAAATTGAATGATTCATGCAGGGCTCTAGTAACTAATCACTAAGGAAACCTTATTCATCCTTACTTATTTTTTAGTACCTCCTTTCTTCTGGCATGGATTCCCTGGTTTACCTGTGGGAACTATGCACCAGTCGCCCCATTCAAACCTACACTGGTGCAGGAACCACCGGCAAGCAGGAGCACCAGACAGAGGCCGTGTTTAACCACACCGAGGACTACGTGCTCTTCCCCGACGAGGCCACCACATCGCTCTGCTCGTGGAACTCGCGCAATGGCTGCCGACTCACACTGAACTCACTGGGACACAATGGACCCGTACGCTACATTACGCACTCGCCCAATGCCCCTGCATTCCTCACCTGCTCCGATGACTTTCGGGCTCGTTTCTGGTACCGCAGGGCCAACAATCAGTAGATGGAGGATTTTTATACAAATAAAATACTTAAGATATTTTCGAATTAGTCTAAAACACTTCTGTGTCTTTCAGTAAAATTCTCTTTATTCAATTAACTCGCTTATGGGTTTCTAAAGTCGCAACCTATAAAATCTAGTGATTGAGCGCACAAGTTTAAGTCGTAGTTGTTGCGTTAAGTAAATACACATAATACCAGATTGGGATTCCGTATAAATATCAGTTGGTTTCTTCACTGGAAGTCCGTTGCGCATTTTGTTGCCTTAGGAATATGCCTAAATCCTAGTTAAGTGGGTCTTAAGTCTTAAGTTAAGTCTACAACATTTCGTGGGGCCGCAGAAACGCTCTTGCGCGCTTTCCATCAGCGGCCACCAACTCGTTTTGATGATTGCACAATTAGCCAATACATTTTATTCCAGCTTGTTTGCCAAGGAAATGAACGAAATTATACTACGGACTTTGAGTATTAAACAATATATATAGGCTATATACAACAAAAATAAAAAAACAAAGGTCTACATAAAAAGGTTCAACAAAATCACAAAGAGAAATGAAAAGTTCTAAAGTTTCCTGCCCTAAAGGATCCCTCTTTCGTTCTCGAATCCAGTAGGCGAACAGTCAAATTGTTTATAATTAAAGCCGAAAGGTAATTAAAGTTCACTGAACTGTGTGCGTTGCTTAGGTGGCTAAAAACTTATTTAAAAACTAGATTAAATTAAATGTTATATTTGCCTAAATAGGCTGTCTGGACGGAGCAAGTGTTAGTAATAATATTGCTTACTGGTTAACATTAACTAGACTAATGAATTTAACTAAAAAATCGTTTTGAGTTGGGTGTTTTTTGAGTGACACGATTAGAGTTTGAAAGAATATCAATATTTAAAAGGAGTTTTCCCTTGAACACATCGATAATATCGTATCGATATTGTTAAAATATCGAAAATATCGATAATTTGCAAACTCTAGCCACGATTGCTTATGGTTGCTACGAAGTATTCTTCTTTCCTTACTAATCCTAATCCTTACTAGATCCTAGATCCTGCCAAGTCTTTACGTTGCGGTTTGTGCGGTGGTGGCCAGAGCCAAGGACTTGCCCTCCGCCACCGCGCAGGAGGCGGGCGGCGTAGGCGTGGGCGAGGGCGACGGCGAGATCTGTATCTCGTTCTTGATGATGACATCCTGCTGCAGGCGCAGCATGGCGGCCGCAGCAGCCGCGGGATTGGAGGCCTCGTAGCCGCCGTCGCTGAGGAACTCGGCCTCCTGGTCATCGCCCTGCTCCAGCTTAACATCCGGCAGGAGCAGTGAGCTGTCCTGATCCTGATCGGGGCTATCAAAAGAGGCATTCTGCTCGGCCAACTGCCGCTGGTAGTGAGCCTGCTCCTGCTGCTGCTGCTGGTAAATCGAGGCGTGCATGTCGCCGGCGGCACTGATCAAGTACTTGAGCGGACTGAAGGCTCCCAGGTCCTTGGGCGGCGTAAAGTTCTCGTGCGTCATCTTCAGGTGGTTCTTCATCTTGTCCGGCCGCGAGAACTCCTTGGAGCAGACGGGGCAGGGGAAGACCTTGCGGTGCTTGCCCTCGTGGTAGAGGAAGGCGTGCCGCTGGAAGCTGTACTTGTTCTTGAAGGTCTTCTGCATGTTCTCCTTGGCGCACTCGGTGCAGCGGTAGACGCCCTCCACCACGCTGGCGTACCGGAAGAGATCGAGGCCACGGACTGACATCTCGGTCAGGTGCTCCGCCTGGTCGTCCAGCGTGGACTGGGCCTTCCGGCGAACCCTGCGCCGCTGAATGGGTCGCTTGGCGCCCTTTTTTCCGCTACGGGGAGTCGGTGGAGGAGGAGCTGCCGTCTCGGGAGCGGGCGAGTCCTCCTTTTCATTTCCCCCATAGCCAGGCAACCCGGCATTCTCGTCAGCCAGCGTCAGCATCTCGTGATCGGGTTCATCGCTCTTCTCCAGCAAATCCAAGTCATCATCCATGAACTGGTTAACACTCGAAGGGGATTCCTGCTGCTGCTGTTGGTAGTAGCCTGAGTTATTGGCCGCCATGTGGAGGAGCAGCTGGTGGTGCAGGTTGCCGCTGTTGTTGGCTGCCTGCTGCTCGGCGGCGTTGGCCAGGGATTGCAGACCCATGCAGGCGTTGACCTCATCCTGGTTCTTCTTGGGCGGCTCCTTGGCGTTTTCCTCCACGGAATTAGGAGCCACTGCCGCCACCGTGATCCTGGTGCCCATTGGCACCTCGGGATCCTTGGCTCCGCCGCGCAGCTGCTGCTTAAGCAGAGAGTTGCTGTTGCTGACCTTGGGCTTCGGTTTGGTTGGCGTCTGGGGAGACACCTGTTGCGTTGTGGGCGTTGTGGTGGTAATCGCGCGAATCTTTAGACCCAAAATAGTGGGAAGGTGAACCGGTGGTGTGGAGTCTCGGTTGTCGCTGATCTCCAGCAGAGAAATGGGCTCTGTGAGAGAAGAGGAGCCGCCGACTGTGGCCGTTGCAGAGATTGTAGTCGAAGAGGAGCCAAAAAGCCGCTGGGAGAGCTCTGGAGTAGCCTGAGTTGGAGTAACTGAAATTAGGAGAAAGATGATTAAATTATTGGGTTAATTATTTTTTAGGGATCCCAAAACCCATAGAACCCATTAAAAATAACAATCAATTTTGTGTTTCAGAACTGATTTTCTTTTTCGAGTGTTTTTGCATTGTGTATTTTATTTCTCTTCTGTTGGTCAGTTTTAAACGATAATATATAAATGTTCAGCTTGATTAATATTGCGTGTGATTTACTATTTAGTAATTATATTTAACGTATCGTATATGATATATCGTAAAGTGTGTGTGTCTCGTAATTAGCTAGTTTAAACGGAAACCATGTTTACCAACAAAATTCCAGACAATTTTCTCATTTTCACATGGAAGTTTTGCCTTGCATTACGATTCTTATTTTTCATTTTCTTTGGGCATCAAAGCATGACTCTCTCTCTATATTTGTAGCTATATATTCCTCGATCGGGTTTGGACATTTTTTTTTGTTGTTTGAAAGCGAGAAAATTGCTGAAGGTTTATAGTGGTTGAATGCAAAAATATATGTAAATATATTCATATAAAAAAGTAGACTAAAAATAAAGTAAAATATAGTACAAACAGTGTACATACAAGTAAATATGCATGATGTGTGTTTGATTGATTGTTTAAAATTAACGCCAAATAAGAAGTGTGGAAGATTGGGTTGGATCGATTGTTTGATTGCTTGGTTGCTTGATTGAGTGGGTGGATTGATTGTTAGTCGGTGTTTTGGGAGACGGCGGCTTACGGACTAAATTGCACTAGCTACCACTAAATAAAGAATTAAAAACAAAAATTATTTAATAAGTTAGCGTACGCAGCTTGTTTATTATTTGATTGCGCTTAATTTTGTTTCAGTTTTTCTGTCAGTTTTTCCTTTGCAGTTTTTAAAAATGTTTAACCTCTTAGTTCTCGAATTGCAACAAATTTGAACGGTTCACATGACTTGAGGAATTATTTGTTGTCTACTTTTCAAGTGCTTTATTTTGTTTGGAGATCGTTTCGCATTAACAACAATATTTTGCAATTTTACACTCGGTTTTTCTGCGGGCTGCTCTGTTATTTCAACTGTTGAACTGCTTTTTCTTTTGTTTTTTGATTTTCATTTTCTTTGGCGATAATTTAAGCCTCCGATATACAACATAAATCGTTTGATAGATGATAAATTAGGTTTACTTTATGTGCTCATTAATATTAGCGTTATATCATTACAACTATTGTTGCTGTTACTATTCTGTAGTCACACCTTATCGACGATGGACCCGACGAAACATTTTCAATCCTTCGCCGGGCTTTCGGATGTTACGGGATGTTACTAACTGTGTGGGTGAGCGGTGCTTTTGAGGGGTTTTGGACGGGTTCTGGGGGTCCAACGACCTTGGCCCAGAACCGGGTTTAACTTTTAACTAGCTTCATTTGAAGGCAACAAGGTAGATTTGCGCTCCCTCTCGCATGATTAACATTACATTGATTCTCCTCTTTCCGTTTTCGGCTTGCGATATTGTTTAGCATTAACATTAGCGTATCGAACATAGTGATAATGATAAATTAATTAATAGTACTACAGCTAGACATACCATTCAATGTTTATATATATTATTTGTATAATTATGTATAACATATCCGTGTGTATATATAGTTTAATTATCTAAAAGTGCAGGTTTAGTTTCGGTTTTTAGTGTAACTCTTGCCCGGATACACTTTGCAAATAAGGCCGCTCTGGTGTCCAATAAAAAGGCAACCCCAAGTGGATGGGTTTTTTTTGTAAGTGTCATTTTTGACTACTCGCTAATATGAAAAACAATCGACGATGGATCATCGATTGGGGATAAATAATAATCGTAATTCTTAGGGGTAGTTGGTTTAGGATTAGATTAGCATTGCGTTCGGAATCGGGTCTTTGAAAACGGGGTCCGGAAAATAATCGTAAGTGTAACTGATGAAGTAAATTGCACAACATAAAAACGTCTGCTGTCGAAGCCGAGTAAAAAACTAAAAACAAAATCAACAAAAAATCTACTTTAACTCTTCCCTCCCCCCAACAACAACAAAAATCCCGAAGAGCGCCTGGCGCTGCAACATGCTTCCTCCGATTCCTATTCAGTTAGCGGCTGCCTCAATTTCACCCATTTTCGCTGGCTTTTTTCGGCGTCCGGAGATTACTGCGCCGCGGCTGCTGGCGCCGGCGGGGCCGTGGACGCCGTCAGCGGTCCCAGGGAGCCGCTGGACGAGGACGTCGAGGAGGAGGAGGAGGTGGAGAGCGCATTGCCAGTGGCGGGCAGCGACTGATTCGAGTTCTGGCCACTCAGATCCGGCGGCGGAGTCGTCGAGGCCAGCGGCTGACCCGCCAAGTTCGCCGCCGCCACGGTGGCCAGCGCCGTCGAGGGATTCTCGATCTTGTGGATGATCTTCACGTGCGCCGTCATGTTGTCCTTGCGCGTGAACTCCTTGAAGCAGAAGGGACAGGGGTAGACCTTCACGTTGCGCTTGTGCGAGGTCACGTAGTGCCGGCAGAAGTTGCTGATGTGCGTGTAGACGCGCGAGCAGACCTTGCAGCGGTACGTGTGCTCGCCCTCTTTGGTGCAGTAGTCCCTCACCGAGCCCTCCGCCTCGCCCTCGCCCACATTGCTGCTCAGGTTGAGCTTGGTCTTCACCGAGGGCGTTCCCATTCCGCCGCCGCCGGCGCTCAGGTTCGGCGTGCTGCCGCTCAGGCCGGCGGCCTTGAACTTGAAGCCATCGTTGCTGTTGTAGAGGTCGAGGTACTCCTGGCTGTTAAACACGCCGCCCGGCTTCACGTCGCCGTTCTGCTTGGCCAGCTTGGGCCGCTTCTGGACGCGCGGCTTCACGGAGGCCATCGAGGAGGAGCCGGCGGGCGAAACGAGGGGCGTGGAGGCTGCATTCACCTTGCCAATGGGCGTCAGCTTCGGTATGCTGACCATGCTCTTCACCTGCGCCCCGCCAGCGGCCATTCCGATGATGTTGAGCTTGAGTCCGCCACCAGAGGCAGCCGCCGCTGCTGCGGTGTCCGCTTGGTGCTTCCGCTGGGCGGCGATGAGGAAGGCCTGCTGGCGCGCCTGCTCGTTGAGGTGGCTGCCGTCCGTTTGGTCCTGCGTGGGCGAGCTGTTGTCGGTGAGCGGGTTGTACTTGAACTCCACGGGCTCGTCGTATTCGTCCAGCATGAGTTGAGGTTCCATATACGATGTGTCCAATCCTTCGCCGTCGCTGTCGTTGCCATCTAAAAATTGTAAGGTAATGGGTTAATCGGGGGCCTCTTAGTTGTCTAATACTGAGTCTAAACGCCACATCTATTTGTAAAATCGTTTATCTTATTTAAGTTGTTCTTTCAAATATCTAATTTTATCTTTACTTTTATATAGTTTTGACTTTATCTGTTACTTGTTAATATTAGAAATTGAAAATGATCGATATTTTCGATATTTTCACAACATTGAAACGATAATATCGATGTTTTCAAGGGAAAACTTCTTTTAAATATCGAGAAACTGACGATTTTCTTTCTAGCTCTAGTTAATCTTTCTATTATCTGTTATCTGTTATATAATATTATAGATTGAAAATTATCGATATTTTCGATATGTTCACAATGTTGATACGATAATATCAATGTTTTCAAGGGAAGACTCCTTTTAAATATTGAGAAACTGTCAAGAATATCGATATCAAAATCTAGTTAATCTCTCTAAAACAATGTATACTTAAAATTTTACAAATATCTGGCGTTTAAACTTAGTATGAGTTATGATATGGTGTGTAAATATGTGTGTGCAGGATGTATGCGAGAGAAAGGCAAAACACATGACGCGAGCGAGTGAGAGAGAAAGAGTTTCAAATCGGATCGGAAAAGCTATAGGGATTTCAAGCCATTTTCAACGCGTTGCGAGTTCGACAGTTTTTCTTTTTCTGTTTTATTGACAGCTCAGAGTGTCAGTTGATCATTTTCCTGTTGTTTGTTGGTTAATTTTTGAGATGATCGGAAATGGACAACAGAGATCAGCATTTCATTGTGGGTGTTTGGTGGTCATGAGAGGTGGCGATTCTGGTCTGGAGTTATCTTGCTACTTGTGACTTTTTGATGCGCGGTAAATTTGGACAATTTGGTTAGCTACATTTGTATGTTTCTTGATCATTCTTATCACGTCGGCCATGAATCCCTGTGAGCTCAACCCGATTCTCAACTTCACAATAATCTCTTCGTCAGCTGGTGGATTTGCATTTCTTGGGCATCAACTGCTTTAGCTGGTTGTTGGGGACACTCACCTGCCGACGGACGGAAGATGCCTCGAACGTTGCGAATTCACTTAACAATTTTCGTATTACTTTCTCACTTTTTCTTTCAATTTACTTTTTGCACTAAGCGGGGGAGTAACCGACACGATCTTTGCTTTTCAGATTTCTACTAATTGAAATGCGTAAAATCCCTTTTAGCTTTTCCGATATTCGCAGATGAGATTGGTCGAATGTGGTTATGTGACTTCAGCCTGGCTCTGTATTGGATTGAGTTTGTTTTCGATACATGTCTTTGCTGGGTGCACATGAGAGTCGACTTGGGAATGGTTGATGGTGCATTGTCTTAGGGCTAGGGCTAAATGATCTTACGGCTAGGCAATGGTTCGAATGTACTGGTAACGAGGACTCACCGGAAGTGCTGTTGTCCTCGTGCTGGCTCACTGCGCGGTGATCTTTGGAGTTCTTTGATCGTTTCGAGGGCAGAGAGTCGCGACTTTCCTGTGGATAGAAAGAGGAATGCATGTGGATTAGATACGAGAATATTTTCAGGGTTTCCTTAAACAACTTTTCATGCAATCCTCCCTTGAAACTCACATTCAGATCGTCCGTGTGCGCTGCGGTGTGCTGGTTGTCATCGGAGCCATCGTCGTTGCCGGAGTAGGAGTCGTTGCCCAGTTTGCCATTGCCCAGATCGGAGGTGTCGTGCATCAGGTTCTCGCGATCGAAGTCGTCGTAGTCGTTCCCCGTGCCGTTCGAGCTGCCGGACAGCTTGCGGGGCCTGCCCCGCTTCCGCTTGGGCATCAGGGCCGAGCTGAGCAGCGAGGGCTGCACCGGCAGGGTGGGCGTGTTTCCGGCACCGGCGGCACTGGCCAGCAGACCGCCGGCCTGCGAGCGATTCCGCTGGGGCACCAGGTACGGCTGGATGCGCTGCAGCTGGGGCGGAGTGGGCGTGCTCTCGGATCCCGCCGCCCCCGCTCCTGCCGCTGTGGCCGCCGCCGGCGAGGGCTTGTCGTCGTTGACCTCGGTGAGGCCCTTGATGCGCAGGCTCTCGGCCACGCGCAGGAATGCTGTGAGTCGCTCCTGGTCCACGGAGACCTCGCCTCTGTACATGAAGTCGAGCAGGGACTTCATGTCCGAGTAGGGCACGTCCTTCAGAATGACAATCGGATGCTTTTCCGGGTGGTTTACGAACAGGGCGTTGAAGTAGGGACTGCAGGCGGATAGCACCATCTGTTGGAAGATTATTATAAATTATTGAGATTGTAGATATATTTAACCAAATTTTACGTTTTCAAAAAATATTTTTTTTAATGAAAAAGAAAAGTACCTTTAATATTTGTAATATAATTAAAATTGCTATGACTTTTAACATCTATTTTGATCTTAACCCACCTTGTGTGCCTTCAGGTATTGCCCCTCGACGGCCAGCGTCACGTCTGTGAAGGTTTCTGCGTGGAGCAGCTGGTCGAAGACCGAAAGCAGGTTGCTCTGATGATTGTTCCACCGCAGGCAGAAGCGTTGAGATGCCATCTTCATTGGGAGGCTGGGTTTGCGTCACTTAAGCGGTATGTGGAGTCGATGTGAAATCGCGATCTATGTCCTCATGCAAGTGGGGCTGTGTTTGAGTGCCCTGGGTACATCTAAGGTCCTTCGCTTGTCCTGAGCTGGGTTTCTTGCCTGTCAGCTCCTAAAACATATATTCCAGGGCGTGCTGCAATCGGATAGGAAGAAAATCGTAAGGTTAGTTCAAGCTACTATGTTTATAATAAGAAATCCTTTATGTGAAAATCACAATATTGAATGTGTTATTGTTCCTGCACTTAAAAAACCTGTGTATTTTAACCATTTTTGTTGGTAAACTCATAACTTAATAATATTTAAATAATATTATTTATCATTATACTATCATTTATATTTATACTAATGACTTCAGAATTAAAAAATTGAAGTTTCATTAAAAAACCCGATCTTGTCCCACTTCCTACATTATCACTGATCGACTAGCCAAGCTCCACTGTACTCTTCCGTTGCCCATTTTCCCAAAAGAGTCCTGCAGCTGGAAACTGTGCTGCCGACTGCGCAGCCGGCGTCCAATTGAATTTAATTTAAGAGTCGACCCCAAAGGGTCAGAGACGAGCAGAGCTAGCACATTATGCAGGCCCCGTCGAGGAAAAGTAAATGAGGAAATTTCAAATGTGTTTCAAATGGGCAGGCAGCAACAACAAGAGCAATAAAAACAACAAGGCACGCACTCGCACTGCAGGGAGAGAAAGAGACAGAGAGAGCGCGACTGGAATGACGGCAACTGTTGATCTGTGTGCGTGTGCATGACTTGGAAACTTGCCAAAGGAAAGGGTGTGGAATTAGGAGAGCTGAATGGAAAAACTTTACAGGCCTGCCAACTGGAAACTGGAACGCACACACACACTGGAAAGTCGTGGAAGAATATTCGTGGCACGTTTTTTTCTTGTCCGTCCCGTCCGTACGTCCGTTCGTCCGTTATCTCACTTTCGGCGATCGTAATTCCAACAAAAAAATCCTTGTCTTGAAACCACGCTTCCTCTTGCTCGCTCCACTTGCTAAATATTTGCCGCTGCCGCCCTTATCTTATCGCCAGCCAGTTTCAGTTGCTTTGTACACTTAATTGAAAATCATTCCCGTTCGCCCACGAAATTCCAGTCCCGTCTTCCTGGCGCACACCGTTTTCATTTCATTTTCACTCTTGTTGTAATTTGCTTTCTGTTTTTCTGTTTTTCCACGCTTCTATTTTTGTTGTCTATGCTTCGCACTGTTCGTTTTTGTTTGCAATTGTTATTGTTTTTATGCACTTGTTCAAATCAATTGAGAAACCATTCAATGAAGAGAGAAAGGGAGAGATCGGCACACACACACAAACACTATGGCACGGCACCGCCAAACAGTTATTAGAAAAGCTCTTGGTGGCAAAAGCTCTTTTTCGCCTGTCCGATCGCACAAATATGTGTATTTCTCATTTATGGCTGGCTTTTAAATGGAATTGTATTGTTTTTCTGCCACTAGTGGTTTTTGCTTTTTTTACCGTTGTGTGTAGCGGAGTGAGCGAAGAGCGAGTGCAGGAGAGAGGATCTATTCCAGTTGACACGTCCTCACTCGGGAAAGTCTCGCGAAAGAATGAGTAAGTCAAAGTCCTCGACGCAGGAAGCCGACTGCGCTGCCGGCGTCGCTGCCGCATCGAGGCCCCCTCCCCCCACGGACACCAGCACACACGCACGCACACTGCGCCTGATAAGAGCGGATGTTTTTAGGGGTGGGCGGTCGCCTGCGGAGAGGAGATCACTTTACAGCACACACACGCACACACAGGCGATCTGTTTTACACCCCCTTTCAGTACGTGTACGCCTTTAAAAGGAGACGGCGATACTGGGAGCGAGCGAGAGAGGGCGGTTTCTTCGGCTGGGGGGATTATATCGTAGGTCCTAAATAACTGAACACTATTCACCCTTTTCTTTCCTTGTCGCTCTTTTTTTTATAAGTGTCTAAGAGTTTTTAAGTCTATGCTGGTAGAGTTTTGGGGGTAGTGCAGTCACTTCTAACAAACACTCTTTTAAATTTGTTATTCACCTTATTCAGCTCGATTTTCCCTTAAAGTTTCGAACAAACTTTTTATTTATTTTTGGAAACACATCTAAAAGGGGGGCCACTAGTGCACTGCCCGCAATTGTTAAACCGAAATTACTATTCGCTATTTCGCCTGCTGCTTCCTTTGCACTTTTTTTCATTTAATTTTAACTTGTGGAAATTTTCACAACTCGGCGCGAGAGGGAGACAGCGAGAGGGGGCGCGCGTGTGAGCGAGAGCGGAAGAAACTCTCTTTCGGCAGCGGCGCGTCGTCGGCAATATTTCGTCCGTCTTGCTTGACACCAATACAGTGAGTGAGCGGCGATCCTCTGGCGATCGGATCGGCAACTGGGCTCCAAGTTCCCGAGCGCCAAGGCAGCGCGGTCGGCGTCGCTGCCAGCGCTGCTTCTTCTTCGAGCAGGCACACACACACGCAGCTCGGCAAATCCTCCTCTCTCGCAAGGAACGCTCTTGCTCACTCACACACTCTCGCAAACAGGCAATAGGGCTGCGGTTTGTGGAGACTTTTCGCTTGGTCCCCAAGTCTCCAAACGGAGAGAGCGCGAGAGCAGCCCCAGAGCGGGAGCGCTACTCTTGCTCTCTTGCTTGCGCCTTTGACTTTTTGAATTTTAATTTCCTTTGCTTTGCACGCGATGGCTGGGGGCGGCGAGGGGATGCGGGGATGGGGGCAGCGAAACGGGGTTAAAAAGAAAAACACGCTGGAAAAAAGCTAGGAAACAGCAGCAACCTTTTGGGTGTGCAACAGTTGATGATTTGTCGTTTCCCTCGCTTTTTCCCGCCGCCGCAGATGTAGCTATTGTTGCTGTTGTTGCCATAAGGGCAACTTTTTGGGTTGGGCTCTTTATTGGAACCACTTGGGGTTGGGCCGCAGCTTTGCTGGGGTTTTCCAGGCCACCGAAATATGGGAAAAGCATGTGGAAACGCGACAGCCAGCGACGCAGGCGTGGTGGGACATACAGTGGGTATCCTAGTGAAGGAAATGGGATTGCATTTTAAAATTTTTTCAAAACTATATGTTTTTTAAAAATATATGAGGAATGTTATTATGCAGTTATGGATCTACCAAAGTTATTATAGTATTTATCAAAGGTTGATAGATAGAGCGTGGCAGAAGGATTTTTACAATTTATACATTTTAAACTTCGCTTTTATAAAATTATAGATGAACAATTCCTGATAAAACTTGGAATTTACTAAAAAATATTAAATTATTTAGTCAAGGTCGTACAAGAAAATGAAATGGATTATTCCAACACTTGGGTGGATACTCCTAACACTTTTTTCGGATACGTTTTTTCAGAAGTGTAATAAAAAATCCTGATATTTCCAAAAAAGTTAAGTATTTACCCAATTGTATTACCTTTTTTACTCACATAACCCTTTTAATAATGGATTTCCCAATTAAATAGTTCCAAATCCCTTTTCCAGTTAGGAAGGCTCCACTGTATGTTTTCGTGTTGGTTGGCAGGAGCGTTCGTTGGATGTGTTTTTTAGTCGAGGGATTACGTAAGCGTGCTGTAAATTCTACAAGTGGATTGGATTGGCAGTGTGGCTCGAAGCGATTGGGGATCCTAAGCAGCGAGCTTTGAGCAAAGTTCCCTCGCTCTTTTTTTGTATTATTTTGCTTGTGTGTTTTTTATCCTACACACCTTGGTGGGTATTTTGTTGTTGTTGTCTATTATTAACTGGCTGAAGGCGTAACGGCAACAACAACAACATGGGCAACCCCCCACCCCTTTTATGCCCCTTGCAACGGAAACGATCGTTTCGCCTAATAGGCTCTCGCACACACACACACACAACTATAGAGCTCCCCAACCCAGGTGAAAAAGCAACAAATGCACACACACACACATACAGGCGCACAGGCTAGACAACTACAACAACAATAAGGTAGTCACTGAATCGTAAATTCCTGTTGCTGTTTTCTCAGTCGACGTCGCTGCCGCTGTTGTTGTTTGCCTTGCCCTATTGCGTGTTGTTGGTGGTGTGTTTTTTATTTTTCAGTCTGTTTAATTTTTTCTACTTTTGAGTGGCTTTTGTGGAGCTTTGCCTGGGATCAGATCGGATCGGAACTGTGACTCCGACTCTCGGGGGTCTATGGGTCCATTGTGTACGCTATGGCTGCACGGAGAAAAATAGGACCAAAGAATGGGGGTTTTATCTCTTACGACATCATATCATTTCAGGTCCTATCTGCTATAATAATGATTTATTCTGAATTGAGGTTTTAGAAAATCTCCTTCGATGATCAGATCATGTCATATGTTTAGACCCATTATCATAACAGATTCATTATATTTCAGGACTTCTCAAGATAAACGTACAATCCTACGTTTGAAACTTATAAACCCATCTAGATCCTCTTTTTTTCCTGTGTAGTGGTGCTTCCACCGCCTGTGCCATTGTTGTTGCCGTTCTACTTAGTCGCTGGTCTAATACGTATAAACCGCTCTATCTACGCTCCATGACTTCCTCTCCCCACTCCCCAAAAAGGGGGAAGGGAGGGGGGAGTTGCTCTCCTGCTTGAATTTTATCAGCAAAAAGTTACAACAATAAGTTCCATGAGGCGGTGTATGTAGGTGCGAGTGTGTGCGAGAGCGGAGGTTGGAAGTATAATCGGTGACAGGGCTCACAAATTAACGATGCTTCCTCTTCTTCATCTCCCACAGACCGCGATGATGATGTTGAAATTTCAATTTCGGCTGGGAGTGAAAACGGAATTTGTACATTTCGACGGAGGAAGACCCGTTTGAAGAGTGGTAGACAAACAGTGAGGATGGGCAATTATAACGAATGATTTTCCCAGTGTGGGATTTGATTTTCTCAGCCAGGGAAGAGTTTGGGATCTATAAACTTGTCATGGTTTAAGGACATACTTTTAGGAATCGAGTTATTCAAAACTGAGAACTCCAGATAACCAGGACTTGAATTAAAATATATCCCGAATGTATCCCGAATATCTAAAATATGTATGGGAGATATATCCTAGTGATAGTGATAACTAACTAACATAGATTGAAGTATAGATCTTCACATTCCCAAAAGGTGGACCATTGTCTATGGAAAAATTTATGACAATTTACATCTCT